TGCAACCGGGACCGGTCAGCTCGAAAGCGCTCGTACCCACATGGTTGTGGCGTACAGGACTCCGAGCACCTCCATTAATGGCTCACGTCGTATATACAATCAATATGCTTTGTTATACTACATATCTCTCGGAGACTTAATTTGATCACTGGCAGCTCATGCTACTTGTATTTACCGTCCGGTAGGCACTGGGCCAGTGAACAGGTATCCGCGCGTCGGGGCTTGCAGCACCGCAACGTCCGTCAGGCCATCGTCGTCTACGCTGTAGACCGACAATCTTGTTGCTGAGGACGTTATCTGTTTCAACACCGCGCGGAGGCGCATGCGGCGCACCTACTGCACGGCGGCGATGAAGGCAGCGTCGCAAGCGGAGGCTGTTCTGCCGGAGAGTGGACTGGCTGGTCGGATTCTGGTGTGTGGAGAAGATACAGGACTCACGCCCAGCTGCTATGTACGCGTTCGAGCACAGCGTCGCAGGTGCGGTAACGGTCGACTGTGGCATGTCGGGCAAGTTGTTCGCACCGTAGATGGCCGCCCTCGATAATGTGGTCCATTTCCTGCGACGAGACGGTCGTCGCCGTCTGCGCGCTCCCGGGGCGGCAGAGGACAGAGACAAAGGCGAACGAGCTGTTGGATATGATCGCCATGCGGTCAAGATATGGCGAGATGCCAGGCATGTACTCTGTCGTCGAATCGAACATAGACAAGTGATTCGACGACAGAGTACGTGATGCTGGGGGTCTCGCGTACTCGGGGACGGTGAGCGAGGAGCCGTTGTTGCAGAGCGCAGTTGCCCCCAGGGCACCCCATGCGCTCAGGCTTTCATGCACTCAGAGCCAGCTGAGGAGCGGGTCCCTCATGCCTAGCCAAGACCGCCAGAGAGTGACAATACAGCTCGTGCGGGCCGCGGAATTCCAGGACAGCCCATCCTGCCCCTAGCGGTGTTGTTGTGCTGCCTCTGCGCGGCCGAGGATGCGGATGGCTCACTATCTCGCCATCGCGTCGATTTATTCGTGCGGCTTCTTTACTCTCCGTGCCGTGTGCGGTCACGTCAGGAAGGTCAGATCGCCCAGTCAATCCCGAGGGACTAGAACGGTAAGCAACGCCCACAACTTGATTCTGCTGGAGAGAGCTCACCTCATGGTACAGTATAAGGGCGGAGGCGTGCGAACACTTCGTAACACGAATAAGTCTGTTCACGTCCATTGCAGCCACTCCCTGACGCACCCTCGGCTGTGGCCCTTGGTGTGCTGGCCAAACGGGATGTTGATATGGCGCAGGACGGAGACGGCGCGGGCACTGGATGCGAGATGTGTTGGCCGAAGATGGCCTTGCGAGTGTGTGATGCGGCACCGGAGCTCAGAGTCTGGACCAGAGCATGAGGTCGTGCCCGTCGCATGGCGTCGCATGGGTACTATCGACGAGTGGCGTCGACGTCGTTGCGGGTTGCGGGTCGATCCTGTGTGCAAATGCTGGAGAGCACCTGCGCGATGCAGGGGGATTTATGCGTTGTTTTTGCGCGCGGGTGGCCTGTAATCACGAAGTTGTGAGCGTAGTTCATGTCGACACAGGGCGCCAGTGCACGGACCGCAAGATATGTATGCTGTGGACCTTGGCGTCAAGCTATGGAACATTAGAACGCACACCATGTCGCCCGGGGCAACCGCTAGGTCGTAGTCAGTGCGAGGCTCATGTGAGTGTGCACGCACCTGTAGCGTCTTGGTGCCCGTTCAATAGCGGACGTCACATAAGTAGATACATCCCGTGTTGAATGTAGATCAATGTGCAGTGTTTGACTCGAGACCCGGAGAAGAGGTTAACATTGAGAAGGGAACGCAGTGACATGGTATGATGATGCCTCGTAGTCTAAGTCTATGATGGTCGTCGCGAAAGCTCAACCCTAACCAGGATGAAATGCGCTAGGCCATAATATTCTAGTCGAAGAGGGTGTCAGAAGACGATATCAGGAATCTCGCGTGTTTAGGGCGTTTAACGGGCGTTTAACGAGCGCTTTCGAGCTGACCGGTCCCGGTTGCAGTA